GAGACTAGTAGACTAGAAGAGGCCTTAGATGTGTAGTTACGAGGTTTGAAGATCTCAGTCAGTATTCACAAAAGTAGGGTGTAGAACATTGTCTTTGTGCACTATGCTGCACCAACTCCCAAATGGTTTCTTATGTATTTTCTGAGACCCAGCAGGCAGAGAATGAGACAAAGGATTCAAAGATCATGTGTTGTCCTCGTGATGGGAATTCTGCTGAGGGATTCAAGTCAGAGAGCTTCCCTATACAGGGGAGATAGTTTATACCTGTTGGCTAAATGGACGTTGAAGAAACGGTGGCATACTTTGAAAGCTAGTTCATATTTGGAGATGGATGAGCAGAACAGTTTGTTACAAATGAGGGACTGTGATCGTCCGTGGAGGAGGTGTCCTGAACCAGGTGTAGGATCTGCCTCAGCATCATTCCCGCCCCTGTAAACACAGGGAACATTGGGGCCATTTACTGAGCTCCCATGTGTAGGGAATTAGGCATGGTGTCCTCTGTGAATGTCACTTGTTGATTCTGGTGTTTTCCCCCAGCAACCACAGCTGTGTGGCACAGGCAGACAGTTTTCTTACCTTAAATCCTACTGTTGAGCTAAGGAGTCTCAGGGACCTCACACCTCTGACTTTTATGATTCTCTGATCTCTACCGAGGGAGCCTTGGTGACCCACTGGGTTAAGCATAGGATTGCTTACCGACGGGTCATCCGTTCAAACACACCAACTGTTCTTTTGGAACAAGATGTGGCCGTCTGCTCCCATAAAGATGTATAGTCTTGGGACTTTATCAGATATTTCTACTCCATCCTGTAGGGTCAGAAGCCACTTGACCACAGTGACTGGGTTCTCTACTAATACGGGACCGACTCTACTTATAAACCTTTCGGAAAATTCAACTTTAAGCACTTTTTGAAATACTTTCTACTATGCAGATAATGTATGCTCATTTTAGAAATCTAGGAAAATAGATAAAACAGAAAGGGAAAAAAAATTCTAACCCTATGTAGGCAAAAACACTTTAGTGTATTTCTTTTGCACTGTTTTCTTCTGTTCTTTTTAAAATGGAATGTAGTAAGTGCAGTATTGCATTCTTCTTTCTCAGATAACGTAATAGGCATTTCCCATACGATTAGAAACTCTTTATAAATATTGTTTTGTATGATCTGTGTAATATCACCATATGGTACTCGTTGTATTATTATTTCTGATTACTGAGTCTTTATTCTAATGGCAATTTCCCTTTTGGGTGTTATATTTTCTCTGTAGTGCTTTAAATAGATGATTGTATAATAGGCTGCGGGTTCAATCTAACTGCCTTTCATGTGGGTTGTTGTTGGTGTGAAGTGCCGTTGAGTTGGTTCTGACCCATAGCGACCCTGTATAAGATTTCTGAGGAGCAGCTGGTGAGCTTGAACCGCCGACCTTGAAGTTCAAACGGCTTTGCAGTCTGGCACATTAACCCACAGCGCCACATCAGGACTAGGGCATGTTTACATGTTGGAAGGAGTTAGGAGACCATTTAATCTCCTGGTTTACTTGAATGATCACTTACCAGGGTCTCTGGTTTGTCACTGTGTAATTAAGTGGAGAAACAAAGTAGTGTTGATGAGAGGCTGGAAGTGGGCCTCCCTGCCAGCTTACCTGAATGAACCTGTATTGGGCTGAGGAGAGGTCTTGTTTGCCGTCGCTTGGTACATTGTCCCGTTCATCTTTACAGTGTTGCCACATGGTTTTTAACTGTTGTTCCCTCTGGGCGCATCTGCAGAGTCAGGGGAAGCTGAGCTGAGTGTTCCGGCTTCCATTGGCTGTTTCAAGATGTTTCTCTTTTCCTTCTGTATTTTTGCATGCGGAAGAAGCAAAATGTACTGAGGTGAAATATCACTCAGCTACTTAGCATATGAATGACTCAGACACCCTCACGCGACCTTTCCGAACCTCAAACTCCTTAATCTGTACAATGGACTCAACAATGTGGAAGATGGAAATGGGGGGGAAGAGTTCTGGAGCTGAGAAACCTGCACGTAAAATCTCAGCTGCACTCACTCACAGGGGGGCCTTGTTGGTGTTCAGTGCCATCGACTTGGTCTGACTCTTAGCGACTGTCGATAGGGTTTTTGAGGAGTGGCTGGTGGGTTTGAACAGCCGACCTTAAGGTTAGATTATCATACAGCATCTCATGCAGTGGGACCTTAGAGAAGTGATGTAGTCTCTCGGACCCTCAGTTTTCTCTTCCCTATTTGAGGCCACCACCACTCGTCTGTCACTTTGTCCTACTGCGGTTGCTTGTGTGTGGTTGTGATGCTGGAAGCTATACCACCCGTGTTTTAAACAGCAGCAGGGTCACCCATGGTGGACAGGTTTCAGTGGGACTTCCACACAAGACAGACTAGGAAGAAAAAGAGGTGGACCACTTCTGAATGTTTAACCACCGAAAATCTTATCACTAGCAGTGGAACATTGTCAGATAGAGTGCCGGAAGATGAGCCACTCTGGTTTGAAGTCACTCAAAGTACGACTGGGGAAGAGCTGCCTCCTCAAAGTAGAGTTGACCATAACAGCATAAATAGAGCAGAGCTCTCAGGACCTTCATTTTGTAATGTGGTACAACGCAACACCTGCAGACAGCCATTAACAATCAGAAGGGTTATAGAAAATTGTCAAAAAAGAGATGTAACACATAAAGATTGAATCTTAGGTATTAGTGAGCTGAAATCGACTGGTATTGGCCATTTTGAATTTGACAGTCTTATGGTTTACTGTGCTGGGAATGATAAATTGAAGAGGAATGGTGTCGCATTCATCATCAAAAAGAACAGTTCAACATCTATCTTGAAGTAACTGCTGTGATAGGATAATACCCATGTGCCTACAAGGAAGACCAATTAATACCACTGTTATTATCAAATTTGCGTAGCAACTGCTAAAGCCAGTAGAAGAATTCTATCAGTTTCTTCATTTTGAACTTGATCAAACATGCAATCAAGATGTATTGATAATTTTCAGTAGCTGGAAAATATGACCTTGGTGATGCTATGGATTGCATGATAGAATTTTGCAAGACCAATGATGTCTTCATTGTAAATGCCTTTGAATTTCCCCCAAACACTGCTTCTGGTATAACTCACATATCTGATCTGTGAGAATTGATTTCTTTTATTTATTATTATTTTAGCCTGTTGGTTATTTTAAATGTGTTACCTGACTTTCAGATCCCTGGAGCTTACCCACACTTCCCACTGTTGTTTCCGACTTCTATTCTAACCGTGTTGTGATTGGCAAACCTGTTCTGTGTAATTTCAATCCTTTCAGCTTTATTGATACTTGGTTTATGACCCAACCTATGGCCTATGCTGGTGTGTTTTCTCTGAGAACCTGAAAAGAATTTGTATTCTGAAATTAGTAGGCATTTGTTGTTGCTGTTAAGTGACATTGAATTCTAACTCATAACGACCCTGTATGGGTTTTCCTCAGAGCTGCTGGTGGCTTTCAACTGCTGACTGGGTAGTTTGCAGTCTAGCATCACACCACGGCTTCTTGTTACATTTTGTTGTTGTTTTTCAGTACTGTCGAGTCAGTTCAGAGTCATGTGACCCTGTATAGGGTTTCCAAGGAACGTCTGGTGAGTTTGAACCACTGACCTTGATGTTTGTTGTTGTTGTTATTATGTGCCGTGGAGTCGGTTCCGACTCATAGCGACCCTGCATAGGGTTTCCGAGGCTGTAAATCTTTACGGGAACAGAAAGCCTCATCTTTCTCCCGTGGAACAGCTGGTAGTTTCGAACTGCTGACCTTGAGGTTCACAGCCTGATTCGTAACCACTATGCTACCAGAGCTCCTTGATCTTGATGTTTAGAGCATGTGAAACACCTGGCATGCCATCAACAACCCGCAAACCTTAGTTATTATTACCCATGCTCTCCTTCTGCCTCTCCGCTTCTCCTAGTGGAAGGGTGGGTGGCGAAAGCTGCCTGACTTCACAGAGCTCGATTTTGTGTCAGAAGAGCTGGTATGTGTGTACATTCCCAACCTCTGTAATAAAGCGGAGATCGTTATGAAGCGAGTCACACAAAGACTTTGGTTTCCCAGTGCATATGAAGAAAGTTTACACTGAATGGAGGCTGGCTCCTGGTGTGGCTGTAGGATCAACACTGGATGGTTGACCACAAGGTCGGTGGTTCAAGCCCACCAGCCACTCCTTAGAAAACATACAGGGTGGCTATGAGACAGGGCACAGCCACAGCATACTGGAGCCCATTAAAGGGGCTTTGGTGGCACAGTGGGTTAAGCATTGAGCTGCCAGCTGAAAGAGCAGCACAAAGTCACCAGCCACTCTGAAGGAGGACAGATGAGGCGGTCAGTCGGCTCCCATAAAGATGGACCACCACAGAAAGCCCAGGGAGCAGCTGTACTCTGTCGTACAGGGTTGCTGATCTGACTCGGAATTGACCCAACAGCAGTGGGCTTTCAGTTTGGGGTAACTTTATGACAAAGTTTGAACTGTCGTGAGAATGACCCACGTGGGGCACAGACGGGGCCGATAGAGGCGTTCAATGCCAGGTCATCACAGCCTTCCATCTGTGAGGCACCCGGTATCTGCGGCACTCACTAGAACAAAGAGGGTCTGCTGTGTAAGCTGCCGTGAGTGCAGGGCCTGGCCTGGTGCTTGGACCCTTGTCATTGACTGAGACGATCCTTATGTATCAAACACACTGACTCTCCAGGCCTGCTTTCCTGGGGACATGGGATTCTCGAGAAGAGTGACGTGTCCACCCTGGGATCTCTAGGTCTTCGCCCACAGGAGCTACCGGTGGCTACTTTGGTAAATGGAATAAAATCTGGACTCTGTCTTCGTCTCCTATGGTTGCTGTCCCTTCAGAAGCTGGACTCACTGGAATGTCGTGCTTACGCCAAGAGTTTTCTTTTTGTTCAAAATAAAATAAAAGCCCCCCAGTTTTACTTTTGTCTAATGAACCGTTATTTTGTTTTTATTTTCTCCTTAGAGAAGAAAGATGTGACTCAAAGCCTGGAGAACTATACGTCCAAGTGTCCCGGGACCATGGACCCCATCACGCTTCCAGATGGCCTTACGCTGCCCCCCGTCCCCTTCACCAAGCTGCCCATTGTCAGGTGAGCATGGCCCTGTGAGAGGGAGAGCAGGTTACAGACCTGCTGATCGTTGGCCCCGGTCGCACAAGGCTAAGTGCTCGGCTGCTAAGAGGAAGGTCGGCAGTACTGGCCACCCCATGGAGAAAGACCTGGTGCTCTGTTCTTGTGACATTTCATCTTAGGAAACCCTGTGAGGCAGTTCTACTGAGTCCTTGAGGGGTGCTGTGAATTGTGCTCATGAGGAACCTGTGAAAACCAAGACTAACAGACAGTCATTTGAACAGAACAAGGGAACACTGAATGGTTTCAAATCAGGAAAGGTGTGCGCCAGGGTTATATTCTGTCGCCGTACTTAAACTCAATCTATATGCTGAACAAAGAATCCAAGAAGCAGGACTATATGCAGAAGAAAGTGGCGTTGGGATTGGAGGAAGACTCATTACAGCCTGTGACAGGCAGATGATACAACCTTGCTTGCTGAAAGTAAAAAGGACTTGAAATACTTACTGATGAAGATCAAAGACTGAAGAGTTTAGTCTGGATTGCACCTCAATGTAAAGAAAACCGAAATCTTCACCACTGGACCAGTGAGTATACATCATGACAAAGGGAGAAAAGATTGAAGTCATCAAAGACTTCAGTTTGCTTGGACGAGAATAAGGAAGACCGTAGAAGACTCAATGCGTTTGAAATATGGGGTTGACAGAGAATATTGAAAGTACCATGGACTGCCAGAAGAACAAACAAATCTGTTTTGGAGGAGGTACGGCCTTACTGCTCTTTAGAAGTGAGGATGACAAGACTTCATCTCTCGGACTTTGGCATGTTGTCAAGAAATCCCTGGCGAAGAATATCAAGCTTGGTCAACTGGAGCATCTGTGAAAAAGAGGACGACCCCATGGAGGTGTCCTGACAGAGTAGTAACAACAATGACGCAAACGTAACAACAGTTGTGAGGACGGTGTAGGACTGGACAGCATCTCCTTTTGTTGTACGTATGGCTTGCTATTAGTCGGAACCGTTCACCTCTGTGACACTTCACACACAACACGCGGAAGTTGGAATCAACTCGACGGCGTCCAGCAGCAGGAAGAGTTCTCTTGCTGGAGATATTTTATGATTTATTTTGGTTTTAGACTATATGATTGTTGTCACACCTGTGTGAGAACTTCTCCAACTTTTGACAAGAAAACATTTCACCCATTTATAGGAAACTCTTTCTCTGTTCTCTAGTGTGGGAGCATGAACTGGGCTCCCCCAGAAATGGGTTCAAGTAATCATGATGCAAGTTAATTAAGTAGGGGCCAAACATTCCTGTTTTAATTCTTTTCCAAAATGCAATGCAGCTTGAGTTCTTTGCATGCCTAAGATGGGTCTGGCTGTGACAAGCTCGGGATTCAGTCGTGGGTGACGCTAAGGTCATTTACACAGCTGCTCAGTTGGGGTCCATCCCAGGAGGCACACCATTCGAGCAAGTCTTAGATGCGGTGGCCCAGGACTGTCACCGGTGGGCCTTACCTGTCTGAGGATACTTCTGGAGAGCAGCTAAGAACTCACTGGTTCTTTGTTCGAATGCCCGTCTTCCATGCGGAAGGCCTCAGTTCACTTCCCAGCCAGTGTATCTCAAGTGCAGCTACCTGTCTTTTCCATGGAAGCTTACATGATGCTGTGATGCTGGGCAGGAACAGCCATGCTACCAGACTAACAGGAATAGGCAGACAGCCCTGATGATGTGCCTTAGAAAATCAGCCCATGCCAATCCCATGGATCAGGGGCTGCCTGGACAGCAGCCAACCCCAACAACAAACACAGGGCATCTCGGTCAAGTTTAAGATTTGCTCATTCTTGTCTTCAATGTTGTGCTGCCCCCAGCATATCTGTGAAATAAATATCTCAGTTGGTGAGTCTGTTTTAGTGAGCAGGCAGATGTGCAGATATGGAATCTGTAAATAAGAGGATGGGCTGTACACAGTGTCTCCTGTGTTGCTTTCCTCATTGATAAGGTGGAGACGGAATCTCAAAGGTGGCTGTGATGTTTAATTGGGACCATGCACGGGAATGATGAGCCCATGTCTGATGGGTGGGTTTTCAGTAGATGGATTTGAATAGAGGCTTGTCGACATCAGAGGAGAAGTGATGGCTGTGCTGATGGAGAGGCAGTCCTTTATTTGAACAAAGTGCGCTTGGGACCTTCAGACCTTCCAGACTTGGGCCTGTCTGTATGCTTGCTGTGGGGGTCCACCAGGAAAGTAACGAGCCAGGCTGGGGAGAGAGCGAGTCTCTGCTGAGCAGTGCACAGCACCAATGACGTCTGGTTGACTCCCTACCTTAGTTTCTCTATTAAAACATCAAAACCCATTCCCGTGGTGTCAGTGTGAGCAAAACAGACTGTGCTCTGCAGGGTTTTTGACGCTGTAACTTTTCAGAAGGAGATTTCCAGGTTTCTCCTCTTGAGTAGGTTTGAACCATCAACCTTGGCTTAACAGTGAGCACTTACCCCTTTCTATCACCCAGGGACTGCTTGTTTTAGCACAACAGCTATACCAATAGAGACAGCAACATGACAAAACCCAAACACATTGCTGTCAAGGCGATTCTGACTCACAGTACCCTACAGGACAGAGTCGAACCGCCGGGGCTTTCAGCCTGTGTAGCTGCTGGTGGGTTCAAACCATTGACGTTTCAGGATTGCCCACTAGTGTTCTTAGTCCCAAGGGGCTTTATCTGCAGGGAGCCTGAGTCTTGGGGAAGAAAGGAACTCTCCCAGTGGCACTTTATGTGGGTCCGAGTTCACGCTGGCCCTTCTGACTTCAGCCGCCAGAAGCCCGTTTATAGAGCCCACCAGGGACAGGGCAGTCCCGGAACTCTGGGAGTCCTCACTCTCCCTGAGGAATCTGGATTTATCCTGAGCAACATACAGCCGTACCCTGCTGGATTTGAGCCCTGTCCTCCCATCCACATGTCTTCCAGTTGGACTGTTTCTTTCCTAACACATTACGTTGTTGCTGATATGCTAAGTACGCAGGGTCAGTATGAGTTCCCACTCATAGCGACCTATATAGGGTTTCTGAGGCTGTAAATCTCTATGGGAGCAGACAGTCTCATCTTTCTCCTGTGGAATGGCTGATAGTTTTGAACTGCTGACCTTGAGGTGAGCAGCCCGACTCGTAACCACTACATGACCAGAGCTCCTTAATGCATGATGTTGGACACTGTTTATTCTGAAACCAAGCTTACAAGGCTGTTGAAATGTTTTTGCTCCTTTTTAAAACAACAGGCACGTGAAACTCTTGAACCTTCCTGCCAGCCTCCGGCCACAGAAAATGAAAAGCTTGCTGGGCCAGAATGTGTCAACCAAGAGCCCCTTCATCTACTCACCGATCATCCCACACAACCGGGGAGAGGAAAGGAACAAGAAAATAGGTAAGTCTCCCTTCCTTCCCGGTTTCCAGTGGGTGGTCTGGATTCTGAAAGCACGAGAGTTTCTGCCACTCACGTACAGATGTACACATACAGACATATGCGTTCATGAGCGTACATACCCACGCCTCACTTGTCAGTGTGCTGAAGTTCCAAAGACCAGGTCACTATGTGAACATGGAGAATGACCCCATCAGATCACCAGACAGAGGAGGAGTGCTTCGTTACAGAGCTGCCACACTTCATCATGTGGAAATCGGCAGTATGTGCAAATGGAGGATGACCACGAGACAGAAGGGGGCTACATCATTTTGTAACTGCCAGATTTCCTCATCGCACAACTGCCAAGCCACTGAGAATCACGACCCAGCCGAGTCCATACACCACCTTCACCGTCATCGCCAGCGTTCTTCTCACCTCGCACCCTGGTGTTCATTGCTGCCAGACGCGTGTTGTTAATGCACAGAATAGCCGGAGAGCATATGTTCTACTGTGGCCGTGGACAAGAAGCCTTGGCTAATAAGACCGTCAGTAAACGAGGAGTTGGGGTGTACTTGTCTGCTTGTATCATTTCATTTGCCCGGAGGGAGAGCTCCTGTTCTCAGATCTCTTTCATAAAGTGTGAGTTTGGGGAAGTTCTAGAAACCAGAAAGATGTCTGTCACCTGGGAATCACTCTGACCACAGCAGAGTGATGAAGAGCTCGGAGTGATGTGTGAATCATCCAGGGACTACCGAGGCATCAGATCAGCTCAGGAATACTGTTAACGAGACCAGGGCGTTGTTTTCTCCGAGTGTGGGTAGCCCTCCTTTTTTTGGGGTGTTGCGTTGTTGTTAAGTGCTGTCAAGCTGGTTCCAACTCCCATGGAGTGGGTGGTGCGTTCTAACTGCCAATCTTATCAGCTGCAGTCCAGTGTTTATCCTACAGAGCCACTGTGCTCCCTAAAACTAAGCGGGAGCAGCGGAAACTACAGACCAATGAGGATGAGATTTGAACCCACGGGTGCAGAACACAATGGTTTCTCAGTCCACTGAATTAGCCAGTCGGCCACTTTCTGGTGAACCGGCAAGGAGAGATTAAACATGGGAGTAGAACCTAAGTGTATCCTCAGTCTTTGAGCGTCTTCATCAAAGCTTTTCCGTGTGCTCAGCTTTCCTGACCTACTCATTTCTGTCCTGGTGCCTTGGTTCACTCTGTCCCTGGGGTTTTTCCCTGGGAGCCTGGCTGTGGGTGAACCTCCTTTCTACCTGCCCACCCCCGCCCCATGGTTATCCTATGTCTCGGAAGGGGGTCCTGTGGGCCTGACGCATTGAGGGTTGAAACGGGGATTATCTCCTTCCAGAATGAAGTGATTTCTTTCATGTTTACCTTTACTGGGCCCGGGCCTGTTCCTGCACAGGATTCCTTTCCGTGCCTTCAGAAATGGATTTCCTTATTTATTTTTAAATGCTTTTTTTTTTTTTTTTTTTTAATAAGGACAAGAAAAGTTTTTATTCTGTTATATATAAGGTCACTGTGAATAGAAACAGATTCTATGGTAACTAACAAGAGCCGAGTCTTGAGTATAGTGCAGAGCACACGCACACACACACACACACCCCACAAACAAGAAACATACTCTAGGATGTTCACAGTGGTTATTGCTAGTTGGTAGAATTACTTTTCTTGTGTGTTCCATTTTTTATATGAGAATGCAAATTATTTTCATAAATCTTTTTGTGGTACGAAGGGCCTCAGGTACAGAAGATGAAAATAATGATACACCTCAATGAAGAAAGCAAAAAGTCATTAAGAAGACAGGAAAGAAGGAAAAGGTCAAAATGGATGTCTGAAGAGACACTGAAACTTGCTCTCCAGTGTGGCGATGCGAAAGCAAATGGAAGAAATGAGGAGGTGCAAGAGATGAACAGAAAATTTCAAAGATCAGCTCGAGGAGAAGCCAAATATTACAACATGTGCAAAGATCTGGAATCAGAAAACAAAAAAGGAAGACCATGCTGAGCATTTCTCAAGCTGGGGGAACTGAAGAAAAAATTCAAGCCTCAGCTTTCGTTATTTCGTTACAATGGTTGCAATCCCCTCCATGTACCATCTATGAACAGTTGTTGTTGTTGTCATAGCGACCCCATGCACAGCAGAACGAAACAATGTCCGATCCTGGGCTGCCACACTTGACGCCATCAATGATGCCACCTGGCTGATCCATTTCTTTGGGGGTCTTCCTCTCTTTCTCTGACCCTCCATTTTACCCAGCATGACATCCTTCTCCAGCGACTGTTCCCTCCTGAAAATATGTCCAAAGTATGAGAGACGAAGCTTAGCCATCTTGGTCTCCAAGGAGCACTCTGCCTGTACTTCTTCCAAAACAGATCTATTGGTTCTTTTGGCAGTCCATGGCACTTTCAGTATTCTCCTCCAACACCACACTCAAAGGCAATCAATGAACAGTACTTACCTCTATTCACGTTAACTCTTGCATTCCTCCCTGTGTCTCACTCCCTTCACCGTTCCTCTGCCAGCCTACCTCCCTCTTGTTGTAATTGCCTGCCCCGTCACCCATGTTAACATGTGTCCACCCTCTAGTCTGTGAATACGTTTACCTCACTCCTCTCCCCGTAACCATCACTGACTTTATTTTATTAAGAAAACCTTTTCTTAACTTTTTACAACACTGGCCTCATAACAATATTTGTCCTTTTGTGATTGACTGATTTCACTCAGCATAATGTCCTTCAGGTCGATCATGTTGTGAGATGTTTCCCACATTCAGAGTTATTTTTCCGTTGCGTGTTTGCACCAAAGTTGGTCTAGCTATTCTTCTGTGGATGGGCATTGAGGCTGTCTCCGGCCTTTTGATGTGTCTCTTGTAGACAGCTTATTGAAGAAGCCTGTTTTCTTTACCATTCTGCCCTCTGTCTTTTGACTGGTGCATTTAATCCATTTACATTTATTGTAATTATCCTTAGAGGTTAATTGATTGCTATCATTTTACTTTTGTTTTTTTTCCCCTTTTTTCTTTTTTTTTTCGGTGCTCCTGGTTTCTGTAAGTTTTGTAACTACATTATTTCCTCGAATTCCAGTATCTTTCAAGTTTTCCAGGATCTTTTTGAAACTCCCCCATCCAATTCCCCATGGATTGACACCCTCTGAACTGTGCCACCGTCCTGAGCCTCCTCTTTGGGGGTGTTCCTCCTGTCTAATGGTCCAGTTCCCCACCCTCAGCAATTTGACCTCAGTTGTTTTTTTTCTGAGGAAGCTTTAGATCTTAGAAGAGAACAATACTCCAGCAGACAGGTTGTTTTTTTTTTTTTAATTTAGAAAAGAATTTTTTGGTTTATTTTATTTTAAGTGATAGATTGATTTTTTTTTTAATGTTTTATTGTGAATTATGTGATAGTTTACATGGGAGAACATTAGCTTCACATTCATCCTATCGTATATCGTTTCATTGCCATGGGTACAATCCCCTCCATGCATCATCAACCAACCAAAGGGTATACCCTGCAAGCCTGTGCCCCGGTTGTCAGCACACAGCCCCTCTCCCTCTCTGGTTCTAAAGTCCCCAGCAGCTCCATCTCTCCATGTCACCGTTTCTTTCTCCATTTGTGGCGTCACTGTGTCTGTGGATAGGTTCCTGCTCTCCGCTCTCCTCCCTTGATGGTCTCAGGGACCTCTGCTCCTGGACCAGCAGACAAGTGTTTACTAGTCAAGCTGAGCTGCTGTTTGGTGTTAGAGGTGACCCCAGGGCATAATTTTGGCTTCAGGTTCCTCGGGCTCCTCTAGCCTCAGTGAGATCCTGTTTTGGAGAGTGAAGATCATACTTGCTTGTGCCACCTCTTCCCCATGTAACCTGGAGGCTTCGTGAGTTGTGTGCCCACCCATCTGATGGGCATGTGGCCTCAGGGTGCCAGCTCTGGCCCACGTGCTGGGGTTTCCTTTGTGTAGGGTGCTTGGTGCGGTGGTGTTTCCTTAAAGCTGTGTCTTGAAAACATGGTCATGTGTAGTTCACAGAAACAATATTCTACGTTCCATTTTGATGAGCAGTGACTGACGACTTGCATGTGAGCGGCCATCTGAGGTACAACTCTTGCTCTCTCCCGGTCCCAAGCAAAAAAACGAGAAGGAAATCAAATGTGGAAGAAAGTGTAAAAAACACTGGGCTTCTGGGTGGGTAGAGACTGGTGGACCCCAAGGCTGTGACCCGCGGACACCCTTCATGTTTGGAAATAAATTACCTCTGTGGCTCAGTTTTCACCCAAACACCAGACAGGCCTATAAGGGGAATAGAGTCCTGAGGTGGCGCAGGAGGATCAGCACTGGACTGTGAATCACAAGGCTGGTGGTTCAAACCCTACACAGCGTCGCTATGAGTTGGAACTAACTCGACAACACTTAACAACAACGACAATGAAGAGAACACTAAGGAGGTATGAGATTTGCCCAGGGACCAAGCTCAACTCAGGAAGCGGCAGGAAAGCAGGACCAACGGAAACAGGAAGCATGGGAGGAAGTGGGAGGAGCGTGGTTGCACGTGGGGACTGCAGTCAGTGCCACGAATCAGAATGCGTATGAAATGTAGAAAGAGAACCAATTTACAGTAAACTTCACCCAAATCACAACTGAATAAGAAAGAAAATGGTGTATGACAGCTCTGTGGATGTTGAAGAATTGTTAAGTTGAAGATTTCTTACATTTTTGTCATCACCTTAGAAAGGGTCTTGACTGAACACTAGACTATGAACCTTATGGTTGGTGGTTCAAACCTGCCAGCTACTCCTTGGAAACCTCTACAGGGTTGCTGTGAGTTTGAGCTAACTCGATGGGACAGCAGCACCAACCACCCTTGCAAGAGTCCCTTGCTGCCCCTTCCAACTCCAGTATCCATTGTAGATGCCCCTTTGAGGCCAAAGACCTGGGTGACTTCCTGGGCATATTGCCCTCTCTGAGCCTTGAGTGCCCTTATGAAGAAGAGCGAGATAACCCACTGAAAGTGGTCTCACAGTGCAGACTCGTCCTGGATTCCTTCCTGTGGCTTCTGGACAGTTTGCAGTGAGACAGAGGACCACACATCAGCCACTGGAAACGACTCAGACGGATGGCCTCGCTGTTTCCATCTAGTCAGGCTCTCCCTCGGCAGGATCAAGTGTCGGCTGGGCTGGGTCCTCCTCTGGAGGCTCAAGTAAGCAAAGACTGGCTTCTGAGCTGCCTCACCCTGTTGGCAGAATTCATTTCCCTGCTGCCAGATGACCGAAGGTCCCTGTTGTCTGGTGAGCTGTCTGACAGACACTTCTCTCAGCATCTAGAGGCCCCTCAAGGGCTGCTCCACATGACATGGCAGGTAGTCTGCACTGTCCAGGCCAGCAGGGGAGTGCCTGCTACTGCTGCTGCTATGTGTCCCTTTCTAGGGCTTACCTGCTTAGGTCAGGCCCACCCAGGATGCTCTCCCTTTGGATTAACTCAAACTTATCTGCTGAGGGATCTTCTTTACCTCTGCAGAATCCCTTTATCTTTGTTGTTGTTAAGTGCCGTCGAGTCGGGTCCGACCCATAGCGACCCTGTACAGGGTTTCCGAGGGTGTAAATCTTTACGGGAGTGGAAAGCCTCATCTTTCTCCCGCGGAGCGGCTGGTAGTTTCGAACTGCTGACCTTAAGGTTCGCAGCCCGATTCGTAACCACTACGCTACCAGAGTATCAGGATGCAAACTGAATCATATCCGCACTTAGGAGGAGGGGCGTATATAGGGCGTGGGCACATGGGGGGACAGGGGAGGGGCTTACACAGGGCATGGGCACTAGGGTGCAGGGGTCTTGGGGGAGGGGGCAGTGATGCAAAGCTGCCCCCTCCTCTTGGAATCCTATTATGAGGAGGGGGTCATGGTCCCTGCCTTGCACCATTGACCCTAGCACTGTGGTCATGAGTTGTTAGCCTCTGGCCAGTGACACTCAGGCCTTTGGCTGCACACCGAGAAGGGTTCTGTGTGCGGCGTTCCGTGGGGACGAGTTGCTGGTGGAGGCAGTGACACGGCCCTGTTAACTGTGGGTTCTTTGCTGTGTGTCTCCTAGGTTTCCAGTGGGTTCAGGGCGACGTCTGTGAAGTCCAGCTGATGGTGTCCAACCCCATGCCATTTGAGCTCCGTGTCGAAAACATGGTACGTGTCACACCAGTTATTTAGCCCGTGGCCTAAAGCACCAACTTACCATTGTTGTTGTCGAGTCGGTTCTAACTCAGGGCAACTCTGTATAGGTATTCTAAGGAGCAGCTTGTGGGTTTGAACTGCCGACCTGTGGCTCGCAGTCCATTGCTGCTCCACAGTGCCCACGTGGAGTCTGACTTACCGCTAAGGTCCGGTTTTTGCCGTCGGTGGGCATCCTGTCCCGTATATCTATTCTCATATTTGTCTAACCTGAGCTCTGTGGGGGTGAGGGGCGTGTCTTGTTTTTCCTGGGTCTTCAGTGGGTGTTTGAATCGGCCAGCTACGAAACCTGCTGTGTCCACACAGACCACGGTTAATTGGCTACAGGAGCTGGAGTGATCATTACACGGGCGCAGCACAGGTCTGCTTTCTGCCTGCTACCTGAGGTTTTCAGCGTCGTATTGCCGCACAGATTAGATGTGCCAGGCCTCGGGGGCTGGAGGGGAAGCCCCACAGAGTAAGAGGGAATGGCTTCATGGCTGCCACAGGCCTTCTCTCTGTGCAGGATGTGAACGGCTCACATCGTAGGTAGCACCTGTGGGAACTGCCCAGCCATCCCATAGTCACTGGGAAGGAGTTATGGAATGGTTCACCAAGCTAACAGCGTCATTTCCAGAGCCGAGCCAACCCCCGCCCCACCAGGTGGCTCCCGTTCCCCGAGTCCTTGGATGGCGGCGGAGTGCCCAGTCCTGTCCAGCACCTTTCAGAGGCATGCAAAGGAACCAGTTTCAGTGTGGACATCCGTCTGTAGGTTTAATACGAGTGTGCCGAGTTCACACAAGCCAGGGGATTTCCTGAATGCCCTGACATTTGTCTGTAGTGAGCACATTTGAGGGGGCTTCCAAAAGGCTGTGGCATAGTGCCATGCTCTTCTAAAACCAGATAGAAATGAAAGCTGCCTTTTAAAGGGGAAACAAAAAATTGCTTAGGAAAGAGTAGTAGGTATGTGATCCCCTAACCACCTTGGGGTGATGTCTCCAAAGAGCTGTGGACTTCTGTTTAGACAGAGAGACAGGAAGTCACTAGTTAGGCCTGACCCTTGAGAGGGGCAGGGCGGCTGATAAACCTCCTCCATGTATGACCCATGGAGGAGTTGGGGGAGGAAGGGAGGCCTCCTCTAGGCCTAGCCCATGGGATGAGTGGGTGGTGAGGGGACCTCTTACAGGCTTGACCCATGTTGTGTGGGGACTTCCTCCAGACCAGGAATCTCTCTCATGCCCTCTCAGTCAGTACCTAGTTCATACTGAATTGAAATGAATCGCTAATTGGTAGATGGGCTGGTGGGATATGAACGGTGATGTATGTATGCATATATAAATATATATTTAAAAAGAGCTCTGGTAGTGTAGTGGTTACGAGTCGGGCTGCTAACCTCAAGGTCAGCAATTAGAAACTACCAGCCGTTCCACGGGAGAAAGATGAGGCATTCTGCTCCCGTAAAGATTTACAGGCTCAGAAACCCCGTGCAGGATCGCTATGGATCGGAAGCAACTCCACGGCACATAACCACCACCACTATATATTTGAAGCTTTTATTGTGAATCAGTGATAGTTTGCATGGCAGATCATCAGTTTTTCACTTAACCAATTGTATTTTGTTTCATTGCAATGATTCCAGTCCCCTCCATGCACCATTGGTTAACGGTAATTGCCATTATTCCTCCCTCTTTTTATTTTTTGATGTACACAAAACACACAGAAAATACATATTCATTTAAGTGACCAAAGGTCCCATTTTGCAAGACAGGCTCCTGCCTGCCAGCACTCAGTCTTTCCCTTTCCCTGAGTTTAGAGTCCTCAACTGCTTAATCTTTCCATGCCATCACCTCTGCCTTAATCTCTGGTGTCGCTGCTTCTCTGTTTGTTGTTGTTGTTAGGTGTCATTGAGTCGGTACCGACTCATAGTGACTTATGCACAACAGAATGAAACACTGCCCGGTCCTGGGCCAACCTCACAGTTGTTGCCGTGCTTGAGCCCATTGATGCTGCCACTTTGCCAATCCATCTCGCTGGGGGTCTTTCTCTTTTTCTCTGACCCTCCACCTTACCAAACATGATAGCCTTCTCCAGTAACTGGTCCCTTCTGACAACATGTCCGAAGTATGAGAGAAGAAGTTTGGCCATCCTGGCCTCCAAGGAGCACTTTGGCTGCACTTCTTCCAACACAGATCTGTTGGTTCTTTTGGCAGCCCATGGCACTTTCAATATTCTCCTCCAACACCATAACTCAACAGCATCAATTCATCTACGGTCTTCCTTATTCACTCTCCAGCTTTCACATGCATTTGAGGTTATTGAAAACACCATGGCTTGGGTCATTGCTTCTCTGGTTAGGATCCCATATTCCACTCCTGCTCTTTCTGCCTTGATGGTCCTTGGAATGTAAGGTTAACTATTTCCCTTCTTTTGTTACACATCTTCTATCTTTACAGTTGTGACAACTGAAATTAGTCATGATAACAGTTACTCACTATTGAAATAGAAAAATCCTATCCCCATCCTCCCCCAGCACCTTTCACTGGGCCCCCCCTAAATAAGAGGAAAACTATTCAGCGAGGATTCTATCCTCCTCACCTGGCTCTGAAAGTAAGCACACGTTTGAAAACTTGTAAGCCAGCCACTTTGTGCCTTTTAGGCTTTCCACCATTTTTTTTTTTTTTTAAGTTTTTATTGTGAATTATGTTTTAGTTTACATGGGTGAACATTATCTTTACATTCATCCTATCATACTTTGTTTCATTGCGATGATCACAATCCCCTGCATGCATCATCAAACACCCAAAGGGTACAGCCCACACTCCTGCCCCCCAGCTGCCAGCACACAACCCCTCTCCCTCCCTGAGTCCAGAGTCCCCAGCTGCTCCCTCTGTCCACGTATTGCCTCTGCCTCCATCCCTAGTGTCACTGCCTTTCCGGACATGGTCTCACACTTGGCTTGCTTTCTTCTCCCTTGATGGTTCCAAGGATCTTCACTCCTGGACTGCAAACTCAGCCGCTCCCCTCCTTTTGTTACCAAACATTTACACTTACCTTTCCAACACTCACTGTCAGACCTGAGAGCAATCATTCCCTATCGAACCACCGGAGTCCTTTCCCTTTCACCTTTTATTAACCCCATCCAGATAGGTTGTAAACAATTCAGTGGAGGTTCTACCATTCCCAAATCTCCCCAAACTTTGGACCAACCAGCCCTTCCTCTTCTCTCTCTCTTCTCATGGTCAACAGGAGTCTGTGGAACATGGGCAAACTCAGCCCATGTCTTTGTTGCTACCTTTCCTGGACTTACACTCACAAGTGGACCAAGGCGGTCATCAGCGAGCTTACAAGCCTGCTCATGTGTTCCTTTTGAGTTTCAGTCTTGGAAGGGCTTTTACAGGATATTGAAAAAAAAAAAAAATTATTTGTTTTTGTTTCTAAAGAACGTATTTCAGTTTTCACCCTTTGTGTTTGCATTCCTATTTGATAAAGCAACAAAGCAAACCAAACTTAGTATCAAGTTGGCACTGCTGAAAAAACTCCAAATCATAAACAAGACTAGGCTTACTGGTTGGCTAGAGATTGGTGGGACCCTGAGACTGTGGCCCGTAATCCCCCCTCAGGCCTGGAACTGATCTCACCCCTGTGGTTCAGCTTCCAGCCAAGTGCAGACAGGCCTAGAAGGGGGAACAGCAACAGCAGGGAGGTACGCAGTCCTTACAGCACCCAACCCGAGGAGATCTAGAGGGCAGCGTTTTCCCAGGGAGGAAGCTCAGAAGGCAGGAAGGGGTAGGAACGAAGGATGCAGGGAACCGGTCAACACAGGGAGGACGTGGGAAGAGTTCTGTTACATTTCAGGGATGGTATAATCAACGTCACAAAGCATATGTATGAACTGTTGAGTGGAAAAATCAGTTTGCTCTGTAAACTTTTACCTAAACCACCGTAAAAGCTGAAAGAAGAGGAAAGAGGACAGCGGCGTTGGTTATGGCTGGGAAGACTCAGGACACACTTTCTGTTTCGAGATTGTCTTCTCTTCACCACAGTGTTGGGGCGTCAGTCTCGAAAGCCCTCGTGGGTGTGGGTATTGAACCTGCTAATGGTACCCGGAGCCTGCCCGCTTGGAGCTGCCTGCTGTACTTATGGGCTCTGTCTCCTTCCTGGCTGTAGGGGCTCCTCACCAGCGGAGTGGAGTTCGAGTCTCTTCCTGCAGCGCTTTCCCTCCCAGCCGAGTCTGGCCGTTACCCAGTGACGCTTGTTGGGGTCCCGCAGACCACAGGGACAATCACCATCCATGGTAAGGGCCGATCGATTGATCGATCGGGTGTGGCTTTGGTTACGCTCTCGTGTTGCCTGACCGAGGCCTGTGACTGGTCTCTGTCCTTCCAGCCCTGACCATTAAGAGCTAGCTAGAGGCCCTTGAACTTTCAACTCTTGGTACAAGATTCTGGAGCAGTTTTCAAACCCTTGTTCAGTCATGTAATCTCCTAGAAAGGAGAGTTAAACGTTGTTTGGCTCTAGAGATGGATTCACTTGAAAAGCAAACTGGAGGGTGGACGACGTCATCATCATTCAGTTGTGGCGATATTAGTGGGGCACAGCATGTGTCCCCCAGTGCTGTGTAACTGATGCTGCCGGTCTTTATGGGAGTAGACAGTCTCATCTTTCTCCAGAGCAGCAGCTTGCTGTGGCTTTGAACCACCGACCTATGACACACATTGGGTTGGCAATCCAATGCGTACCCCATGGCACCCCATTAACAATATGTTTCCACCAGGACCAGTCATCCTGGAAGAGAGACCCCAGGTTAGTGTCACCCCTGCTTCACATGGGATGAAATCAGGGTCTCCATGTGATGGGGCTGGGATTCACATGCAGGACTTCTAGAGCGGACCACTCTCCCCCTCTCCTGACCTGACTGCCTGCAGTGGTTTTGTCTTCCAGGGTACCACACCACGGTCTTCGGTGTCTTCAGTGACTGTCTGCTGGAAAGCCTCCCGGGCGTGAAGACCAGCGGCTCCACAGTCGAAGTCGTTCCTGCCCTGCCCAGACTGCAGATCAGCACGTCTCTACCCAGGTACGGTGCTACCATGGCGCCAGCCCCCTGACCCTAACCCACTGCCCTCCAGTCGGCTCCAGCTCCTGTCGACTCTGTGGGACAGAGGAGAAGTGCTCCTGAGGGGGTTCCAAGACTGTCTGTCATTTTGGGAGCAGACAGCCTCAGCTTTCTTCCTCAAAGTTGCTGGTGGGTTTGAACCACCCAACGTGACGTTAAGAGGCCAATGCCTAACCCACTGTGCCACCACTAAAATATTTTCATGGCACAGAGTCTGCATTCCGTTGTGAATCCTGTGGTTGGGACGCAGGTGGAGGGTTTCCCTAAGAGAACCAGGTGTGGCTCTGAAATCAAGTGGAAGGTTTTCAGCAAGCATAGAAGGTGAAATCTGCCTTTGGAATCATGATTTTTATGAAAATGGCTCCGGTTTTATGAAACGTAAGGAAGGCCTGATCCTTTAAAAATAATTCCTTGTTTTTTTTAATGGAAGCATTGCTGCTACTGTTTTTGGGTTCTGTGGAGTTGATTCTGACTCCCAGAGATCCTTGTGGCAGACTCGAACAGCGCTGGCTGAAGGGTGTCTTGACTCTCTCGACGTTATGAGTGGAAATTTGCCCAACGGCATCCGATTGGATGGCTCCATCTTTCTCTCAGGCTTCTGCTGGGTGAGTTTGAACCCTGCACTTAGCTGCTGAGTACTTAACTGTTTGCATCACCAAGGGGGCACATCAAGAACCGGAGGCAAGTAGTGTGATTGTGGGTTTTCTTTCCGTCCAGTGTTTTATCTAGTTTTTTTCTTGATTATTTTGAATCACTAAGCTCATGCTGCATTTTATATGGATTGGAGTCCTGGTGTGGCACTGCAGGTAATGCGCTGGACTGCAAGGTCGGTTTGAACCGCAAGTGTTTCATGCTCACCAGCCATTCCTCAGAAACCCTATACTGGGTCGCTATGAGTTGGAACCGATTCGTT